GCCGTAGTATCGTTTTTGAAGCGGGAAGCTTAAAAAAACGCAAATTTCTTACGCAGATTGTGAAGTTATGAGTGCATTTCAGACTTTGCCGATGCGCTCATCGTGATTTTTGAGGCATTATCTACAAGAAACAACTCTTATTTTTGCTCTAGCAAAAGTTTGCAACAGGCCCATTCCATAAATGGTAATTTTACCAAGAAAAAACTGGGATCAAATAGAGCCCTGAATTCTTGGTAATTTTACCTTTATCTTAGTAAACACACCGAGATTTTTTTTCAGTGCTGACGTTAAACACAGCAAAATTTGTTTCAAATTATTGGAAAAGAAATAACTTACCACCAGATACAGGAGCCTCTATAAAATTCACCTCCATGTCCTTCGCCAAAGCGGCCAATTTTTTCGGGATCTGATAATCAATCGTGCTACAATCTATTAAAGTACAGCCGCGAGGAACACTCCTGCAAATTGATCAAATGAACATCAAACTCTTGAATCCAGGGGCGTCATTTGGTTAAAACGACAGCAAGACAAGAGTACTCAGCCATTACTAGGCGGTGGTCTAGGAAAAGGGCGTATCCGTCAAAATTTTACAATATTTTTATTTCTTGCCCGAGTTTTCTCCACCCCATCGCACATCTGTGGACTTATTACAGATAGTATGTAGAGCATAGGTTGATTTTTTCAAACAGAAATATGATGAATTGTCGAAGAAATCAAGTTTTCCCTGGTAAAAATTGGCGATGAGAGCTGCATTTCAAAATACCATAGGAGTTTTTATAGCCGACTAAAGAAGGCTATTAAAAATCATATAGCTGGCTGTAGAAAGCGGAGCAAATCATATAGCCGGGCGAAACGAAGCTATATAAAAAAGTATACATTCGGGCTATAGTTCCTATCGCCGGGCTTTACACTTTATCGCCATTGGCCATAAAAGGCTATAAGACATTGTGTAGAAATTCGTGTGCTTTGGAAATCATTAAGTTTGATAAGGAACTACCTTAATATTTACAAAACACACATTATATTTTCCTTTAAAACATATTTTTTTTTCATCAATTAAAATAAGAATAATCCATAGAGTTTGCAAACATTTCAAAATCATGAGTTGTAAAACGCTGACTCCGCGAGATTAAATATTGGATCCTAAAACAAAGCGGAGCGGCGACGCACTGGCGCCTACAAACCTAACAGGGATACTTCACGCATTGCGCAAAGCGTGAAGTATCCCTGTTAGGTTTGTAGGCGCCAATGCGCGTTCCGCGCTCTCTGCCCGCCCGCCGCGCCGCAGCGTGCCACGGCGTATGAAGCAACTATTTCACACCAGAGGTACTGCACAGTATCAAAGAAATTGAAGGCGCTCCAACATATTAAGAATGACAGGCATCCTTCAAAAGTACGGAGCTTTTCTCGCAAAATAAATCAAGATACTATGGCACAAAAAGAGAGCGGTAGTCCAAAAACTAACCAAGTCCTAGTATCCGTCAAAAATCGAGCTACGCACTTCTGCACATTCATTATCGGCGTGGTAAGTAGAACATTCGCTACTTTTTTCGCATAGAAGTATGAAGAAGTGTCGAAAATATTTTAAGTTTTTTTCATGTTTTCTCGAAACTTGATTTTTGGCGCTTACGCTCCAATTCAAATAAACCTTCCAATTACATTGATATTGGAGAATGCTTACTTCAAAATACCATCCGATGCGGTGTATGCGTCCAGAACATGCTGGTTAGCCGGGAGCATGGTCACAATACACTCGGCGTTTTCGCAAACTTCTTTCAAGGAATTCGATTCATGAGCACCGTCAGCCACCAAGGCTGTCCTCTTCTTCGCATCCGTATCAAAAACTGTAACTTTGAAATCCTGAAATCAGGTTAAAAAAAGCCAACACTGAAAAAAAGTTTGATCGTATGAGCCGAACGCTCGTTGTTCTACAGAGTGACCCAATGTTTTACCATCAGACTGTAGGAAGATGTTCTATGGGTCAAAATAAGACTTGTCTCTTCCATGAAATGTTTTCCAAAATCGCTTTTTGAAAGGGCTGCGGCCCTCCAAGGTACTGTGAAATAATTCGTTTTTCCTACATTTTTGCCAAGGTAATGAACCGAGTCTCGTCAAAATTGGTATAAAACCATAATTTATGCATTTAAATGTTAAGAGTTTTTCTTTTCGGTGGCTTTATCTCTCGTCCACTGAAAAACAGGTTTAGTAGCATATACTAAACTTCAGCTTCTATTAAACATCGAATTTTGTCGGTTTCAAAATAAACCAAAGTTCAGAGCCTGTTGTTAAAAAGCTTTTTTTTCCTCAACGCATGCAGCAGACCAAATAGGAGTCACCTTACTTACCTTTTTTACTAAATTTTTTGCCATTGGACCGCCCATATTGCCCAGTCCGATGAATCCAACTTGTGAAAATAACCGCATCCCACCTAGAAACAAAGAGAGAAAAAAACATGGAATTTTCCAATCTTCGAAAATCTTGCCAAGTAATTTTATTTACAACAATATCTGATTTGTTTAATGTTTAATCCCCAGATGCCCGGGGCCGGGTCAATTTGGTCCGAGGCTTGCTAAATACACGTTCCATGGGACCGGTACAGACTTGTTTTAGATATAGATCTATAAGTATATCTCAAAAAAGAATCAGACATCAAATTTCAAAGAAAGAAAAATCGAGCGCCGGGGAAATTTTTTTGACAACTACCCCAAATGATATTTGCCGTCCTTTTATCGTATATCAAGTAATTAAGTTGTTATTTATATGCCTAAATATCTTTAACAATACTTATCTCATGTTATATACTTATCTTATGTAATATATGTAATATTTAAATACGATAATAAAGATAGAAGGGGAATGTCCCTGATATAAAAAAAAAAAAAAAAAAAAAAAAAAAAAAAACTACCCCAAAAAACCCGAACCGGGTCGAATTGACTCAACTTTCTGGTTTTGAAAAGTTAGGTATGAGGCCGGTGCATGCGAGCTTTAGAAATAGGTCTGAAAATACGCTCTAAAAAAGAATCAGACATCAAATTGAAAAAAAAGGAGCAAAAAAAAAAGGAGTGTCAACGCAGCCAAGATAAGAGAGACGTAATCGGGCCTCGTTTTTTAACTTTTCTCCTGAATGTGAGCATTCTGAGCGACACCTCATTGGTAATACATATAGAGCGGAGCATTATTACTTATGAGAGTTTACGCCTCACGCCATAGCGCCTTCAATTTTGAAGATGCAACACGGACATCCATCAAGCACGAATAGTTGTATCTCTGCGCCGTCATCAATTTGCGTCCTTTCCCTTGCTCTATTACCATGTCGACGGTGTAAGTCGGCAATCACATGACTCGGTTTGCGACGTCCCAGAATTCGTGTCATATTTTATTTTTTAAACGGAATTCTACTACAATTCTTTAAAACTGCCGTGATTTTTCTTCTCTGTGCGCAGGAAATTCTGCACAAAGTTCAAGGAATGGAGTCAATTTGTTCTCCTTTAAAAAAATAACATGGAGGCGGAGATTTTCAGACACCGCAAACGAGATAATATGTTCTCCAATAATTGTTCGATTTAGAAACCAAAGATATTCTCGTGCTCAATTTTCAAGATGAAAATCACAAAATTTAAGACAGCTGCATATTCTATATTGAAGCTTATTATGTGAGATAAATTTGCTCTCTTAGAATAGACAACTATTCGAGCTTCCCGTTAGGTTTCCATCCTTATGCGGAAAATTGACGGCGAACTCTCAGGTGGACTAAGAATTGACGCGCAAGAGATCCAGGCTGTCTTTAAAAACCACGCATCATGAGTGTTTCCGGGCCACTCTAAAAAAAGCAGTAATCTCCGGGTTTTCCGGACCTGTAGACACCCTGATCTAGGGAGAGCGGGTTCAGCTGGAGAAGATCTCTCATCGATAGCCGAAAAAATTAATCGGCAGAAAAAATATTTGAGGTCGATACTCAAATCCCGTCAGACCGAACTCTGTCTTGCGAGAGAACGTCTTATGAGCCCACGGACGTTGCCAAAATTCGTGTGATAAAACGGAAATTTCATGGGTTTGTGATTTTTCCCCCTAATGGAGAATTTGCACGCAAGTTTTTATTGCTTCATCTGAAAGTGCCTGAAGAGCTGATTTCACAGTATTTTTTATAATTTTTTTCTAATACGGGAAATAGTATAAAACTAAATTTAAAAGTGAGAAAATGCACCACCTAGTGACGTCATCTGGCGGCATTTCCCATTTAAACACATGTATATTAGCAGATTGGGTTATTTTGTCATATCTTTACCAATATTTGTTCAATTTATGAACCACGGGCATCCTCGTGTTCAGTTCACTCAGTAGTTTCCACTTAAATACGAACTTCATAAAATATCAGACACCTGCGAATTCTCCATTTGCCTATGAATTTTAATCGCGATTTCATCAAAACTATCTAGATACATATATTTCAAGGAAAAATATTCATACCATACCTTACCAAAAAATAATATTAATATTATCGTGATACGCACCGCTTTTGTTTGTGGAACTATGCACTACGCAGTTCACTTAGAGACTTTATCTGTTCTTTGCCCCCCCCCCTCTCTCTTTCTTTGTAGTTCAGTATTTTTTGCTGTTTCACTATAACGGACGTCTCCGAAATAATTTATTTCCGTGTTCTTTTTCCTGTTTACAAAAGTTAACCCTCTTTCATTGTTTCGCAGCCCGGAGGTTCCCTGACCGGACCGCCAAAGAAACAAAACAGGGGATTTTCATGTCCTGATTACAATGACGCACGTGAGGTCCATCATCATTCATCCACCTCGCAGTGGAACAAAGGACCCCTCCCTACGCACCACCTGACTAATGATGTTTACGATGGGATGCTGCACCCCTTCCTAAAATCCGTAAAGTTCGGGTTTCCCGCCACTGGAAAACAGGAAAAAGTTTCTGGAATACACCCTAATTGCGAGAGGGGTCAGCAAGGAAGGGGGGGTGGGATCGTTTGTGGTGGATACAGACAAACAGGATACGAGCTTATAAAAGGGAAACCCCAACCCTCAATTTCAGTTAGTTTGGGTTCAGCAAGTGAAGTAGTTCAATGGGTGAGCAGGCCAGTGGGTCAGTGATGTTGTGTTGTGTTGTGTTGTGGTGTAGTGGTGTAGTGCAGTCGGATACTGGAATAGCAACACGTATACTGCAGGTCCTAATCCGTGAGTACACCGTATGATATCTTATTCATAACTTCTACTGTCACAAAATTTAATGTTTAAAATTTATATCCTCTACAATTTGAAAACTTATTTTTTAATTTTTTTTCATTTCAAAATTTTTATCTTTCAAATTTTAGATTTAAATTTTTACTTTATAAATTTTAAGATTTCAACTTTTCAATTTCATTTTTATTTTAATGTTTTACATCATTTTTCCAATCTATTCATACTCAATAGGTCAATAGTACACACATATTACTACTACCACAACTATATACTTACTTACTACTCATACTATACTTATTTACTTACAGTACTTACTATACTTACTATACTGATTTACTTACTCACTATATACTCACTACTACTATGTTTATAGTATATGTTCACTATTGATCTATTGAGTCTGAAAAAATTGTTAAAAATTATGTAAAACATTAACATAAAAATCAAATTGAAAAATAAAAATTTTAAAATTTAAAAGGTAAAAATTTTATTTCGAAATTTCAAAGGTAAAAATTTTATTTCTAAAATTTAAAAGATAAAATTTTTGAAATTAAAAAAAATTAAATTTTAAAAAACGAAAATGAAGTTTTTTAACTGTAAAGACTGTTAACTGTTAAACTCTTCTTAAGGTGATTCGATGGACGCCATAGTTTGTGTCAGAACGGCATGCGATATATCGCATTGGTTGGTTCCATTTTTTCAGCTACTCGTCATTTTTCTCTAATTTGGAGATCGCAATTCTGTTGGCAGGAGACTAAAGCACTCACTTACTAATTTTAACAAAGAGATTCAACGTAATAAAGGCGTCGTTTTTTCAGAGAGAAAACATCGCATTCGATACTGATATCGAAACTGCACTCGAATGCGATATTTTCTCTCTGAAAAAACCACGCCTTTATTACGTTGAATTTCTTCGTTAAAATTGGTAAGTGAGTGCTTTAGTCCCTGCCAACAGAATTGCGATCTCCAAATTGGAGAAAAATGCGACGAGTAGCTGAAAAAATGGAACCAATCACTGCGATATATCGCATCAATTGGTTCTATTTTTTCAGCTACTCGTCATTTTTCTCCAAATTTGAGATCGCAATTCTGTTGTCAGGAGACTAATAAAGCACTCACTTACCAATTTTAACGAAGAAATTCAACGTATTAAAGGCGTGGTTTTTTCAGAGAGAAAACATTGCATTCGATACTGATATCGAAACTGCACTCGAATGCGATATTTTCTCTCTGAAAAAACCACGCCTTTATTACGTTGAATTACTTTGTTAAAATTGGTAAGCGCGTGCTTCAGTCTCCTGACAACAGAATTACGATCTCAATTTTTTTAAGTTTTATTCGAGATTTTGCCTACTACAAAAGTATTAAGAAATATGATCTCAATATTGGAGAAAAATGACGAGCTATTAGCTGAAAAAATGGAACCAATTGATGCGATATATCGCAAGCCGTTCTGACACAAAATATGGCGTCCATCGAATCACCTTAAGCCGTATATTTCCCCTTTTCAAAAGCTTCACAGTTACTTTTCTTTCCCATTTGTATGAATCTTTTCAGAATTTACGAGAGATGCGGTTAGATGATTTTCAGCATTTTAATCACAAGGAAAATTGGACTGCATTTTGTAATTTTCAACTTTAATTTCTGGCTCGGTTTAAAAACAACGTATGTGCCATTAGTTTCCCTATGCACGTACGTGTTTTTTCAGAATTTATAGCTCCAAATTATTAATCCCTCGAATGACAAACTAGTCTTACTCTGTGTGTGTATATAGAGAACTTGTATTAACTCTAGTCTCTGTGTTTTACTTTCATTTTTTTTTTATCAGATTTGAAGAAACAAACACAGTAAAAAGAACTTGTTTATTTAATGTTTTTTCTTGTATACTTTAAACTACTTTTCCTCTTTTTCCATAGCTTCAGACTGATAGGAAAAACAGTTTTTCAAACTGTTCAGCCTAGTTTCATTTTCCGTTTTATATTCCGTAAACCTCAAACTACCTAATTTTCTTTTGTTTATGTTTTTTTCAGATCGGCAAGAAACGAAGCGCTCAAAGTGAAAGCTGTTTTACTCGCATTTCGATTATTGAATTTCACATTAATTATTTTTTGTGTTGCAAATATAAACATAGATTTTCGCATAATTTAGCACGCTCACAGTGAAAGCAATTTTACACGCATTTTGATCATTGAATTTCACTTGCAAATATTAAAGTGATTCGATGGACGCA